AAAATACTCAATTACCTAAGGGAATATTTAATTTAAATATTTGATTTCAGCTAACAAATTTTTTAATCACTTAGCTAACGAATGAAATGTAGCTTTCTTCCGTTAGGTAGGTACTTTTTTTCTTCGTAATAAATTTTATCTACTTGATCTGTGTAGATTAGAAAATAGATAATGATATTAGGTACATCGATAAATCCCTTATAATTATTACAAATTGACTGTTTTTACGGTTTTTACGATTTAGTTCGAGCAAAGCAAAAAATGAAGATGATTATTTCAGTTTATTTTGCTGCCATCTGATTTTTGACATTTTCTACCCGTTGTTCCTCAGTAATTCTAGGGGAAGGACGGGAAAGATGACGCAGCGTCTAAGATGACGCACCTCTGTATTTTATCAAGTACTTCACTAAATTCAGTTTTTATACCCGTGGCGCCCTCCTTTAGAAACTACTATTACTTTAAAACTTCATCGGTCAGCTTTCGTATTGTTTAGTATCTGTGAGGCAGAGTAACGCGATACACGTTGATTTCTTGTTATTTTTGACACTGCGAATATTAATGGTAAGTTGTTTAAAAATGGTTCCATTGGATTTTCTTCATATTCATGGGAGTAGGTGATATTTATTTTGAGTTAGCGAGGATTTATCTGTTAAATATTTGATGATGGATAATTTTGATAACCATTTTTTGTAGGTTATGCTGAACAGGCTAAGTTGACGCAGACTGCCGTTATAGTGCGTCATCTTTGCCTTTTCAGTTCATTACCTTAAATAACAATGGAGTATAGAATATTTATTATTTAGTGTCTATTTTGCATTTTGAGGCATCTTTTTCTTTTTTAGAAATGGAAAAATATATACGAAAAACACAGAGAGGATCATTTTCTGCAGCAGCTCTTAATGCAGCATTGAATGCAATTTGTAGAGATGATCGTAAAATTCGGGAAGTGGCAAGGGCATTTTCAATACCAGAAGCTACATTGAGGAGGAAACTTAAGTTTAAAAATTTATTAAAGGAAGTCAAATCAGAGTCTCTTGGTAGAGCCCCATTGTTTTCGGCACATCATGAAAAGGAGATACTAGATCATGTTCTCAAGCTGGCCAATTTATTTTTTGGTATCACTTGCATAGAGCTGAGAACCATGGCATTTGCTTATGCAGAACGCAATGAAATTAAACACAATTTTAATAAGAATAAACAAATGGCTGGAAAAGACTGGTATCTAGGATTTATAAAACGAAATCCTCAAATTTCCTTGAGAAAGCCAGAAGCTACAAGCATTAATAGAATAACAGCCTTCAATAAAATAGAAGTAGGCCGCTTTTTTAAAAATTTGGAAACAATGCAAGAAAAATATAAATTTCTGCCAAATCGCATTTACAATGTTGATGAAACCGGTATATCTACGGTTCCTAAAGAATCATGTAAAAGACTTGGACCCATAGGAGTAAAGCAGTTTGGAATCATTTCTTCGTGGAAACGAGGGAAGAATATCACGGTAATAATGGCGTTCAGTGCCTCCGGTAACTACATACCTCCATTATTTATATTTCCCAGGAAGAGGATGAGCCCACAGCTTCAGAAAAATGGACCAAGCGGTGCGATTTACAACTGCACGGATAATGGATGGAGTAATACGTCTATGTTTTTATTATGGCTGAAGCATTTCCAAAAAAAAAAGTCCTGTCTAGTCCAGATAATCCCGTGCTGTTAGTATTAGATAATCACTCGAGCCATATTTCACTGGATATTTATAATTACTGCAAAGAGAATGGGATTATAATGGTTAGTATTCCACCCCACACATCCCACAAATTACAACCTCTTGATGTGTCATTTTTTTCTGCATTAAAATATGCGTATGATCGCCATTCCAATTCCTTTCTAAAATCTAAGATCAGCAACTCAGAGTTTGAAGATAAAATTACTCCATATGATGTCGCCGAGATTTTTAAGTTAGCATATGATCAGGTGGCAAATATTGATAAGGCCGTTTCTGGTTTCGGAACGTGCGGAATTTTTCCGTTAAACTCTGATAAGTTCACAGAAGATGACATTTTTCCTGCTGATAATTTAAACAATGATAGAGATGTTTCTCCTGAACCTGCACCTCAGGGAACACCTCCACTAATAACAACACCATCTATAAGAGAACCAGAATTACCACGTCCATCAACCAGCCGACAGTCTCCTGAAAGTCGTCACACAACCCCCACAAAACAAAATGAAATAACGAAACGTCCACATATTTCTCTTTCACTTATTTCTCCAGTTCCTTTGCCCAATAAAAAAATTAAAAGAAAATATGGACGACAAAAGCAACATTCTGAAATTCTAACAAGCACCCCTTTAAAAGAATTCTTAGAAGAAAAAGAGAATAAAAAAAAAATGAAAAACTGGCGAAGTCGGAAGAAGGAAAGAAAAAAGTAACCAGACAAGTATTGGTTAATGATGTAGGACTAAAACTAAATAAAAATAAAGGGAAAGCCAAAGTACAAAAAATAATCAAACAAAAAATAAACAAAAAAATCTTGGAGGATAGCGATACTGAAGAAAGCGATTTTGAGAAGAAGGTCTTTGCAATGACGATGAGTTGGATGACATAATCAACGAGGGAGGTGAAACTGATATCTGCATATTATGTGGAGACTTCGGCAAAAAGACGGAAACATGGTTCAGATGCACAAGTTGTGGACAATGGGTGCATAAAGAATGCAGCGGAGCCAAAAGTCCCGAAAACTACATTTGTGACTTTTGTTAATATGTTAAAAAAGCTTTGTTTACATTTTCTTACTTTCAGTATTAAAAAATAAATTTTCTTTTCATATCACTTGCGCTTTTAATATAGATACCTACATGCGCCATCTTCACCATCACTGTGCGTCATCTTTCCCTCGGTGGAACGTAAGATGGCGCAAAAGCGTTTTTTAAAAAAGCCGAATAAAAAATACTTCCTTTTATTGAATTTAAAAATAATCCTAGAAATTGGTTATAGAAATGTCCAAATTACAGGCACGTAGCATTCAAAGTTAGCTTAAATATTTTTTACCCTTAAATAAAATGTATTTTGCTTAGGTGCGTCATCTTCGACGTCCTTCCCCTATCTAAAATGAGAATTATAAAATTTTAATATTTAGTAAGATCAGAATCAGAACGGCAAAGAGTTTCGTTCAGGCGATATATAATTTTTATGATTAGTAGGTACCTAATAAAATGAATTTTTTAGATAAATTGTAATTGTAAGCTATCTTTAAGATCAAGATATTTAAAGACAAAGTAAAGAGTAAAGTAATCTAAAGCACTAACTTATTTGTCTGTTTTAGGATTTTATTTCCCTATACTTTTGCCACATTTTGGCTGGCTAATTCGGTTAAGAAAAATAGGTAATGCTTCTGGTAGAGATCTCGGCTAAAAACTTCGACACTTCTCAGTAGATGGCAAGTAAATTAAATTAAAATTTATTTATTTTTTTAGATTCTTAAATAAAGTACAAAATAACGTGAAATGGGTTAACTGTCTTCTTCTTTAAGTTCCATCTTCTATCGAACGTTGGAAATCATCATGGCTATGCGGATTCTGTTGACAGCCGCTCTAAAAAGTTCTGCACTACTGCATTCAAACCATTCCCTTAAGTTCTTAAGCCAGGATATTCTTTGTCTTCCCACATTTCGCTTTCCTCGGATTTTACCTTGAATAATAAGTTGTAATAATGCGTATTTTTGCCCTCTTGTCACGTGTCCTAAGTACTCAAGTTTTCTTCTTTTGATAGTTAATATTATTTCCGCATCATTTTCTATCCTTCTAGTTACTTCCACTTTTACATTCTTTGAATCTATGATATTCATAGGATTCTTCTGTAACAACAAAATTCAAAGGCGGCCAACTTATTAAGATGGACTTGTTTTAGTGTCCACGTTTTCAAGCCATACAAAAGAGTAGAGAACAGTGAGAACACGTAACATCGAAGCATTCTCAGGCGTAGTTCTAACCTTATATCCCGATAACAAAAACAAAGAAACTTCTTAAGTTTAATGAATGATGCACGTGCAATTTCAATACGTATCTTAATTTTTTTGGTTTGGTCTACATCTGATGTTATACATGTTCCTAAGTATTTATAGTTATTAACACTCGCAATTGCAGTATCTTCAATAGTCGATTGAATATTTTCCTGTGTAGATTTAGTCATGATCATGCATTTAGTTTTCTTTAAATTTATCTTCAGTCCGTACTCACGACAGCGTTCATTAAGGCGTTGCATTACGTTCTGTAAATCATTGTTGTTAACAGTCATTATTATTGTATCGTCTGCAAAACGTAAGTTATCCAAAACTTCTCCATTGATAGATGATAGATATATCTTCTATTGAGTCTGAGAGCGCTTCTTAAAATCCTACCGCTTCACTGTAGACATTGAAAAGTAGTGGGGACAGCACGCAACCCTGGCGGACCCCTCTGTATTTTGATATTTTGGGTGTACTGGCTGTCAACTCTTACCCTGGCAGTTTGATTCAAATATAAATTAGATATCATTTTCATATCACGACTGTCAATATTTTTGCTTTTTTAAGACAGCTCCTGAGGGTTGTTTTACAAACAAAAAACCCAAAACAATCGTTTGAGTGTTAATTACTTGTTAAAGACAAAGTAATTCTCAAACCTAATGGTCTATTCCTCATGTAACATTATGAAAGAAGGCAATAGTGTGTATATAATGTTAAGTTTGTCATCTTCATTATTACTTTGTTAGATTCTCAATTGTTTGAACTCAATTTATTACATAATTCCTCTGATCATAAATAAAAACTCCTGAAAGATATAAAGGTCGTTCAAGTGTGTCATCAAATAAAAAATCGTACCCAATAATAAAACTTTTTATTGATAATGAATTCAGGGTTGACTTTATATATAAATTTTTACGAACAAACGTAATAAAATTACTTGGCACCACTCAGTCGGCCTAACATACATCAAAACTAATAACAACATTCGATAGAACACTAAACAGGGGTAGTCCTTCGTAACGTATCCGTGTGATACATTTGCCTTTCGGAACTTCTCAAACTTAAACTAGAAACACTCGGTGCCCGAAAACTAATTGGTCTTTCGAGGTCGAAACGTGTGAATTCGTGTTCGTGCATACTGGGTGAATAATCGTCGGTAACATAGTCTATATCGGCTGTGGTACTGACGGTGTTAGTAGTGGCATCTCGCGGGAATCCACCTAAGTTCTCAATGTTATTCGTACTAAGGTGGTGAGGGAATCTATACGATATGGTTGAGGGTGCGAACATGTCTGGAAAATACGATACGTCTTTGAGAGAATTGGATTGCGATCTTCTGGGGTGTAATGTACAGGGTAATGTGCTAGAATGGCCGGTGTAAGCAACTTTACCGACGTGGTTGTGTGGTATTGAAGGCGTGTAAACTATGGCACTATTCGAATTAATATACGCTTCTGGATGCATTCTGCATGGGTGTGGATGTTGCATGATTCTCCTCTCGGTATAATTTACAAAATTATCAACTATTGGTGCACCTATCAGTCGCTTTCTCTTCCATTCGTATTGGCTTCTATTTATGAAGAGAAAAACGGAGAATACTCCGGTTATTTTGGTGCAAACAACTCCGGTGACATATACTATGAAGGAATAACCGTAGTAATATTCAAAAGATGCTGGTTGAAGTTGGGACTTTGGACGTAACTTACTGCCTACTTCTGATTTAAAAACAGCGATGTACATTATGAGGCCACACAGCATTGCTAGACCTAAAAAAGAAACATATACATTAATATAAAATATTAAAATTACTGACGCTTTTATACTAAGAGAGAACCAAAGACAATTTAGAATAAATAATAAGAGCGAATCGTGCCGGTCTCAATTTGTGTAGAGGAGGGACGCTGAACTGAGTAGGGGTCCTGTAGTACTTTGTGCAAGACATACTGGGCGGGGAAGTCCTAATTCCCGACACTGGCGCGTCCCAATGGCTAATAGGGGAACGTTACTGTAGATATGCAGGACACGTATGAATAAGGCTTCGCCAAATAAATACCTGCGGATCAATTGAGGACATGACACTGTAGCATTTGCATTTTCCTGAATATTGGAATCCACTTGTACATGTATTAAATTGAAATTTTCTCATTTATGAATTAAAATAACGAAGAATGTTTTCCATGATTCTCTGTTCCTATCGTACAAGTTAAACCCCAAATACTAGTAATACTAGTAAGGCGACGTAAGTAGTACTTCGTTCTACTTACGTCGCCATCGAGTCGATAATAAATCATTTTAAAATTGTTTATGTCACGGATAATAAGAATGTCACATAAAATAATTGCTCATTCTCCTTTGAGTCGCTGTCACAGGCAGTTGGCTTCAATGTGGATCCAAATTTTACGTCAAATTTGAAATGTTTCTCGTTGATCGTCTTTTTTCATGGAAAATATGTAGTGTATTGAGTCAGTTAATGGTTCAGTTACAGTTTTAAGTGAGGATTGGAAGAATCGTCATTTCCATCCTAGTTTTGTTTCTCCCTGGTTGTCATCCCAGGCTTTTTGGCAGTTTGGAGATGAATTTTTTCCCAAAAATTCCAGTGAAGCCCAGTTCTATCCCCAGAAATTACAGTGAAGTCCAGTTTCATAAAATTAAAAGTGATTTAGTGTAAATCATGAATGTGTTGTTTGTGTGAGTCCATTTCCAATAGGTAAAGAGATAATAAATAAGACTTACTCTTCTTCTTCAAGTGCCGTCTCCATCAATGGAGGTTAGCGGTTATGGTGGCAAACGTTTGTCTATCTTCAGCTGCTCTTAAGAGTTCCTCAAATCCAAGTCCTGTCCAGTTTCTGATATTACGTAACCAGGATAATTTTTTTCTTCCAATTCCTCGCTTTCCTTCTATTTTGCCTTTTATTATCAACAAGACTTACTCACAATCAATTAAATTTAACTATCAGACGACCGGTCTCGCTTTCTACAATATGTAAAGCATCTTCAGGTCTCGATACAAAGTTAAATAAATGCTGAAATGATAAAAACCCATATTAGGGTGTTGTCTAATAAAGATAAACAAAGTAGATGTTGGAAATTACAATAATTATGCCAATATTACATGTCTGTGGTTTTATTTCAAAAAGAGTAAGTTGAATAAAAAGGTATAAAAGTTTTAAAAGTTTAAACAGACAAGGTAAGGCCCACAAATTGTTATAAAATAGTCTATTAGATTGTAATAAATTAATAAATGAGCAAATAAATAAACATTACTTACATGCCGGTACTCTATTAATTGATGGATGGTAGAACATGGTTGAAACTACTATGTATTGTTGAATGGAGAACTCAATTCTGCTATTGTAGTTGTATGACAGTAAACGGGAAGTTCTTAAGGAGATAGATTTGATCCAATGAAGCAGAGATATGTGTTATCTAGTTTTAAAATAAAACTAGAAAACTTAACTTGCAGTATTGAGAAACAGAAGAAGAACTGTCACATGCTAACCTACATCTGTCAAATTTACCACTAAAATCTAATAAATAACACATAAAAAACTCATTGTGCCCAAGACTGAAATGTAGTGCATAAAAGTCCTTTCTCCCTTTTAAATTTAATGTTTGTTTCGTCCCTTCTAAGTGTTTTCTGTTTTAGTGTGTTTTAAATTGTCCTTAATTGTTTTAATTCTAATATTTTATTTACTTGATTTTACAATAATTTACTGTTTTGCCAATAGAACTTTATCAAAGAGATTTGATAACTACAAGTTGAAGAATAATTGCACACCCACACAATTTGTACTGTCAAGTGTGTACCAACGCAATTCTACCCGAATTTGCGTATAAAATACACGGTTCGTATATTACAAAATTAAACTTCAAAATTATTGAAAATCTATATTTGCCAGTTCCCAACAAAACATATCGCGTGCTTTTAAAAAATGATGTAACAAAATTATCACTTATAAGCATCAATCTATACATACACAAAATTAAAATATACTACGCCACGGAAACATCGACCGTTCAGCCCTCAGAGTCTTAGTCAACTGTAAGAACCTCATCAATTTTTATTACACCACTTACGCGTTAAAATAAAGAAAATAAATTGAAGTGATGGCGATAAAATATAAGAATTATTGCCGACAAGTGGAAAGATTGTTATGATTTAAAAAGGTTTTATAGCTAAAGCTTTCTTTGAATTTTAATAAGAGATTTTTAACTTCAGCATTTAAAGCGGTATACAAACAAAATAATTATCAAATGGCTGTGACATCCTCCCACCTGAGGCATTTTACAAAAGTAAACATGGCTCACAATATTAATATTGGCACAAAAGTAAACAAAACTACAGCAAATAACATAAAACCATAACAGACAAAATTCGAAATATAATTAAGCAAAAACTAAATCTACTCGTTAGCGTATCGCACTGGAGTTTTGACGCTGCGCCCACTTCGCGTAACAATTTTTTTCGTTTCGGGTACTCTGCTTTCAGACACTCCCGTTTCCGCGTCGTTTTCGAAGGCACTCACTTCCGCGCCTTCACATAAACTTAAACGAGATCCTCTGTCTTCGGTCTCTCCCGTGTTGTCCGTTCGGTCATTGCCTGGCGTCTGAGAAAAATCTGCTGGGCACTCCATGGGGTAGATACGCTGAATTGGTCTTAAAAATTGATCTCTTTCTGTAGAAATCCTAACAAGCCGAATTTGACCATCTCTACCGGGAATAGTATCAGTTATTTTTTGAAAGTCTACTCGAGAAAACGCGTTCTCAGTTCCGACAAAGTTAGTTCCATTATCACTGTATATAGTCTTCGGACGACCACGTCTGGCAATAAAACGTCTTAGAACCTGCATGAAGCAGGCGACTGACAACGAGGTGCAAAGTTCGACAAGTACAGTACGATATACGGCACACGTAAAAAGACATATTATCCATGCTTTTCCTCCGGTGGCTAGGTAAAGCGGTCCCGCAAAATCTACGCCCGTCGTTTCGAATGCTACCGCGTCCCGGACGCGATCTACTGGTAACGGCGGAGCACTTGCCCCGAATGGCTTCGCATTATGCCTTTTGCAGACGACACACTTAATGATGGCTGATTTTATCGCCCGTCGACCACCTAAAACCCAATATCGTTCGCGCACGATACTCGTGAGTCCTTGAGTTCCAATATGACACGACTTAACATGTTCCCGGAATAACAACCTATTCACTAAAAAATGTTTTGCCGGTAAAACTATACGAAACCGAAAATACTCTAGGTCATTTCTATTACTAATACGCGACTGTAAGCGAATTAGTCCATGCTCATCCTTAAAAGCGTTCATTCCCGATAATATATTGTCTTTATTCAGAAATAGAGTGTCGTCACTCTTATTCCACTTTATTCCCAACACCTGAGTTGAAGCTGCAAGGTTTTCATCCTGTATTTGGCCAGTATACTCCCACCTTCTGAGGTCAAACTTGCCTTCACTCATTATTATGTTTGACTCTTCTATAAAAGTTCTCAGTTCCTGCTCATTTCTTACACTGGTAACACAATTATCAACGTAAAAACTATTGGATAAATTTGTAATTGTGTCTTCTGAAACATTAAGCCGTGCCGAAGAGCATTTTTCTAACATCTGCGATAAATGATAGTCCAGCGTAGCTGCCAATAAAAATGGACTACTACTTATTCCAAATACAACTCGACAGTGACGGTAAATCCTTTCTTTTCCAGTTTTATCTATCCATAGAAAGCGAAGAAAATCCCTGTCAGCTTTATGCAGGCCAATTTGCAAAAATACTTTCCGAATATCGGAGATTACACCAATTTCCTTTTGTCTAAATCTCAACAAAATAGCTGGAATCGATTCAATCAGGTTAACCCCCTTTTCAAGACACTGATTTAAAGAAGGTCTGTGTTTTTCTTTGGCCGAAGCATCAAAGACCGGTCTGATTTTTGTAGATAAGCTATTTGGCTTAATTATCGGTCTATGGGGTAAATAATGACATTCTTGGCTAGGCTGCTCCTCGGATATTTCTTCAATTATACCTTCATCCAACCAATCCTTAAATATTTGGTTGTAGGCTTCAAGATATCCGTCTTTCGTTATTTTCTTAAATGTGCTCTCGAGTCTCCTTTTTGCAATTTGGTAGTTGCTCGGCAATGCCGGATGTCCTTCCAGCCATGGAAGTCTCACTTCATATCGTCCACTAGAATCCGATGACACTGTTTCAAAGAAAAGTTTCCTGGCTGCTAGCGCAGTTTCTTCACTTGACTTCCTTTCAGTTGGATCACCAATGCCCAAAACGTCTAGCTCCCAAAGATTACTAACTGAAGCATTTTTAACAAAAAGTGATACAACCGATGTGGTATTTTTTGTCCCGTTGACCTAAAGGTATCTTGCCCATTAAAGTCCAACCTAATAATGTTTCTACAGCTACCAATCCACTTTCCAATATGTGCCTCCTCCCAGTATAGAGTTTTCCAGCAATATCAGCACCTATTAAAATCTCTATAGGAGACGCATCACCCAAGTCCGATAGTTTTATATTAAACATACCAAGTTCTTCTATCCAGGGACCATTAAATATGGAAGAGACGTCGCTACATATAACGTTTTGATCTAGTGCCTCAAATGTATAACTATAATTGTTATGAAACACTCTAACATCATAGCAATCATGTTTTTGCGCTAATTGGTTTCCTCCAAACAATCCATGTACTAGATTAATCTGTCGTTTACTAGGATAACCCAAAAGTTTAGCTGTAGATTTCAAAATGTACGTTTTTTGCGATCCGGTATCTATAAGAGCACGTACAACTCGCGACTTGTCTAAATAGTTTATTTCAATACGCAGAGTTTGCAAAAAAACATTCGTATTAGCACTATTAGCGAGCGTCTGTTCAATTCTTGGCACGGCAATGCCATCGTTTTCTTTCTGCTCTTCTGTATCCTGCTTTACCCGGTGTCTTGAAAGTTCAGTGCACATTAAAGGTACATGCGATTTAGAGCAAATTAAACAACTTAATTGACTGCGACATTTTCGAGACTGATGTCCAATTTTCAAACAACGAAAACACGCGCCTTTTTCTGTCAAAATATTTTTCCTTTGGTCATAAGTTAATTTCTGTGCTTTAAAACAGTGGCTGCTTTCATGCGAATTCTGACAAAAAACACATTTATAGATGGTGTGAGAATTAACTAAACCCATCGCGGAAGGAGACTTGTGCTTGTTTTCCTCGTGTCTCCTTGTTTTTGGACCTGTAGATTTAAAATCTTCGGTTTTAGCAGCATGCAAATGGAAATTCTCGACTGCTAAAGAAAGGTGCTGCTCATTATCAACTTCCTTTTTCAAGAACAACATTAAACTCTGAAGTCGATTTTCGATGCTCGCGATGCCGGCAGAATTAAGTGACGCTTGTGATCCGATACTTTCTGGCAATCGTTGCCAAACTCTTAATAAATCTGAAGGTAGACAGGATTCAACTAAAGGAAATAACATAGCCGCGTATTTATCCGACTTAATACCGAGTGTTTCCAGAACCCTCAACTGAGTCTCTAATTTGTCGTATAACAAGGATAGATCTAATTTATTGCCAGACGCAGTATTATTTATTACTAATTTAAGTAATTCCCGTACATAAACTTCGATCTGCAAGTCATCCCGACCGAAACGCGAAATAAGACAGTCAATCATAGCATCATAATTACTTCCAGTGGCGGGAAAACTATCCACTAGTTGCCTAGCTCTACTACCCGGTATAGTAGCTTGAATCAAATATTCGACCTTGTCGTTCGGATCTATGTCAGGATCATGATGAACTTTTTGAAATTGTGACCAAAAAGGCAACCAGTGTTTAATATTCCCGTCGAATTTTTTGAACTCTAATGTAGGTAATTTAAATTTTCGCTTACCGTGTCTGCTGTCTAAACTACTCCTATCATCAGATATCCTAGAAGCTACCTCACCTTCCACTGCACCTGTCACTATTGACTGCATACGGTCTTCGAACTGCATACTGAGATCCAAAAACTTCTTGCTATAGTTGTCACTACACTCAATTTCTGCTAAAAGGTCTTCTTCACTAGCGTCTTCACTTAGTAATAGACCGTAGATTTCTTCATCACTTTTCCTTAGGTCTTCAATTTTTTGGCGTAATAGATCCAAGGAAACTTTAATTGATCGTATCTCACCCTCCGGCGCCGACAAAAGCTTATCCATTTCATTCGCCGTCCTCGTGAAGGTGCTACGGAGCACTTTGCGATGTTTCTTCTTTTGATCCATTTTTCTCTGCAAACTTGGTCAAAACCACACACGTTTACCGAAAGTTACAGGCGATAAAGTTTGTCCGGTGATCGTCAATTCAATTTTGTTACACCTCGTATACAACCACGATTAATTTTATGGAAACAGTCCTGTCACGGTCGCCAAATATGTCAAGTGTGTACCAACGCAATTCTACCCGAATTTGCGTATAAAATACACGGTTCGTATATTACAAAATTAAACTTCAAAATTATTGAAAATCTATATTTGCCAGTTCCCAACAAAACATATCGCGTGCTTTTAAAAAATGATGTAACAAAATTATCACTTATAAGCATCAATCTATACATACACAAAATTAAAATATACTACGCCACGGAAACATCGACCGTTCAGCCCTCAGAGTCTTAGTCAACTGTAAGAACCTCATCAATTTTTATTACACCACTTACGCGTTAAAATAAAGAAAATAAATTGAAGTGATGGCGATAAAATATAAGAATTATTGCCGACAAGTGGAAAGATTGTTATGATTTAAAAAGGTTTTATAGCTAAAGCTTTCTTTGAATTTTAATAAGAGATTTTTAACTTCAGCATTTAAAGCGGTATACAAACAAAATAATTATCAAATGGCTGTGACATGTACATCTAAACTTATTCATTGTCATAAAACTGTCACCTTCATAAAACAATTACTCAATAAATAACACACATGTCATAAATATATCTCTCGAATAAGAATAAATAACTTTTAATAATACAATAGTATGTTACATCACTTTCATTTAACAAATATTCATACACATATCTCTGCTTCATTGGATAAAATCTATCTCCTCAAGAACTTCCCGTTTACTGTCATACAACTACAATAGAAGAATTGAGTTCTCCATTCAACAATACATAGTAGTTTTAACCATATTCTACCATCCATCAATTAATACCGGCATGTAAGTAATGTTTATTTATTTGCTCATTTATTAATTTATTACAATCTAATAGACTATTTTATAACAACTTGTGGGCCTTACCTTATCTTTTTAAACTTTTAAAACTTTTATACCTTTTTATTCAACTTACTCTTTTTGAAATAAAACCACAGACATGTAATATTGGTATGATTATTGTAATTTCCAACATCTACTTTGTTTATCTTTATTAGACAACACCCTAATATGGGTTTTTATCATATCAGTATTTATTTAACTTTGTATCGAGACCTGAACATGCTTTGCATATTGTAGAAAGCGAAACCGGTCGTCTGATATTTAAATTAAATTGATTGTAAGTCTTATTTATTATTTCTTTACCTATTTGATTTAGTGTAGTCAAGGTAACTTTTTTGTTTTAAATTTCAAAGTAAAGTAAACGTTTTTTAAAAATAATAATTACTTTCAGAATTGCATAATTTAAAGGGATGGTAATATTTAAAATTGTTAATTTTAGGGTTTGACTTTAGCTGTCGTAGTGGGATATTGTGGAACTGTCAGAAGTGAAACGAAGAGGCGAACAATGCAGGCATCTAAACTCTGAAAATCGTCTATACTACACAGGGAAAATAGACGAAACATTTGGTGGAGTAGGATTTCTTGTCAAAAAGAATCTCACACCATACATTTCTACAAGCGTTTCTGATAGAGCAGCTTATATTATAATAGACCTAGATAATAAAATCAAGATCAAATTTATACAAGTGTATGCTGCCACATCAGGAAGAGGTAGATGAAATGTTCTACGAAGATTTGATAATAGCATTAGAAGAAAATGACAAAGTATACCATTATTATAGGAGATTTCAACGCAAAATTTGGTAAAAATAAAGAAAATACTAAAACTAAAAAAATATATAACTTCTTAGAACAACAAAATTTATATGCGTTGAACACACATATCAAGAAACCAGCAACCAGCAGAAAATGGATGTGGATATCTCCTGATAAAAAGACAAAAAACGAGATCGATGCTCTTAAACGATTCACAACTGGCAGTGACAGTCACAAAACCAGTAGAAATAGGCCACATAATTATTGTAATCAAATAGATCAAACTAAAATGCGACACAAGGGAGATGAGTACAGAAAAGTCTTAAGAAAATAATTTGTAGAACATTATCAACAAGAATATTCCGACATGAAAACAATAAAAAAATGCAACGAAAGCTCTTGAAAGCAGGACTGACTGTTGCAAAAAAAAACGAAAAATAAAGAAGACAGAATAAGTGATGGAACAAAATGGTTGATGGAAAAGAGACACACGCTAAGCGGAAGAAAGCGAAACACCGATGGTTTCAAAGAATTGAATAAACAAATAAAGAGGGAAGTAAAGGAAGATTTAAGGATCTTCAAAGAAAACAAAAGTAGAAAAAATAATATAAAAGAACCGAGGCCTGAAATTCTTAAGATCAAACTTAGGAAAGCCTATAATAATCTCCCTAATAAAGGATAAAGATGGAAAAGAAATCCTAAAAGTTTGGTACACCGTGTGGAGTACCAGAAATTGAATTCACTACGAATTTTGACCATGATGGACGGCATGTAGAATGCAATCTTAGATTCCCTTGCCGAGTAATTTATCAAGCTGTTTGACTTGCAAGTTTTAGAAAGCACAGTGGTTAAGATTTGAATTCGATTTCGCCTGGTAGAAATCGTATGATTTCTCTTTTTGTTCAACTAATTATGTATAAAAGTAGACAAAAGAACTGCAAGAAGTGCTGAAGGTAATAGTTAGTTAAACAGTAAGCCAACAACGTCAGTTTCTTGTGGTGGATTCCGAAGGATAACAATTTTCTTATGTAACACCAATTAACATCGGTTATTATTAGGTATTCGGATGATACTGTTATTTTGGCAGAAAATCTATAGCAGAGAGAAAATTTGTAGAGACTGAGGAACAAGATACATCTGATAATACAGGAGAATCCTAAACATATCTTGAATTGATCATGTAATAATCAGGAAAAGAATGTATAAGAGTACGGATATAATGAAAACCATCAAAACCAGCAAGCTGCAGTACCTGAAACATGTTATGTATGGTGAAAGATATTACGTGTTTCAATTAGCTATACAAGGAAGATTTCAGAGAAAGGTAAATGTAGGAAGGAGAACAATCTCTTTCCTAAACGTCGCAAAAAATAGTCACCGTGGTTTTTTAAAGAAGATGTTTTTGTCTAAGGTTACAGAGAATAAAAAATAGAAAAGTACATAGAATAGATATATAAAATACTCACCTGTTTGTATAAAAATTACTCCTGCTATCAACGTAAATCGGGATTTGTTGTTCAAGCATTGGCCGAGAATGCAGAAAATGTATCCCACGAGTACGAATACACTACCCAAAAGTATGAACACAATGGATTTCGTCACAGTATCTAAAACAAAAAATTTTTTTGACCTTTAAAGCTTATTTGAATTATTTCCAATTTTAAATAGTTTAAACGTCAAAATAAATGTATTTTAACCCCTATTTAACCGGTTACTCTAATATTGAGAAATTTATTTAATTATTTAATATTTTTAAAAATGAGTTTTTGGCAATAAATTTAGTGTAAAAATTGCTATAAAAAATTTAATTATATCAGATATTTTTATGGATCATCTGGAGACAAAGATTTCAAAACCTCCCACATTCAAACAGTTTTAATATTGGTAGAGATACGTAGACGATGTACTGGTATGTTTCACAGGAACTAACAGGCAACTCGACTAATTTTTATCGTATATTAATTCACTTCATAGTCATATTAAATTTACAATAGAAACAGAACAAAATTAATCCATAAATTTTTTAGATTTAAAAATTATCATACTTAAAAACAAACATGACTTCTTCATATTTCATAAACCTACCCATATTGACACGGCTATACACAATTTATCATTCCATCCCACACAACATAAGCTGGCAGCATATTATACTATGTTACATAGATTAACAGAAATTTCGATGTCAAAATACAACTTTGGGACAGAATTAAATATCATTACGCAAATAGCAGTAAACAATGGATACTGTAATAAATATATTTGCCTACCACATAGGGTATGATTCTGGGGATTGAAAATTGGAGACAAAAACTGTTGGGCTAGAGATAGGGCAAGCAAAATAAACGAAACTTATGCGGACGGCACTCAGGGCTTAATTGGAGAGCTGGGGTCGTGGATAAGTGAATTGCAATGGGTCGGATTGGGGCAACTACAAAAATAAAATAAGAAGAGGGTACTTACATAAATATCCTGGACAAATTGGCAAACAAAAACAACAAAAAGACCTCTAGCTATTTGAAAAAAAAAAGGACGCCGCTTCGAAGAATTCTAATCTAGCTGGATAAAGGAAAAAAGGCTCTTCCCTCCTTGGTTTCACAACAAAAATATATGCACTAAACTTCCGGGATTAGAATTGGGATTTGTGCTATACACGAACAAAAAGGACTACATCTATGGTCTGGAACGTTGATCAGCAGAGGACAAACATAAGTGAGGTAAAAACAAATCAGCGGTTTTACAAAACTAGAACCATTTTCAGAACTCTGGTATGTGACACAAATCTCTTAGATACTTAGCAAAATATGTAGAGATTACTCTTTTCTAAACTGACATATTCACATATACCTATTTCAACTTCCTTTGTAAATACACATACTGCACAATTAACTGCCACTACACATTAGATTTCCATTAAAAAGGGCGAAACACAAGAAACATTTCAAATTCGATGATCAAATTTGCATCCACACTGAAGCCAACTGCCCCTGACAGCGACCTAAGTAAGAATGAGCAATTATCTTTAAAATTTCATTCGCATAACTTATTAAAAACAAAACACGTACAAAGGGAACAAAAACGTAAAAATATTTATTTGAAAACGCAGTATCGAGAGGCTCAACGAACAAAGAATGTCGTGAATATACGCATCTAAGAAATATAAACAAACTATAAAATGGTTTACATTAACTCAAGCGACGCAAAAAGAATTAAAATATATTTCGGGAATTTTAACTTGAACGATAGGAAACGACATACACTAAAATTATTCTTCAATGTTGTAAATATAGTTTAAAAATTAACGAGGAGTTAAGCAAAACAATAATCAATGATAATGAAGATTCCAAAGAAAAATGGGAAAAATTTAAGAACACATTAATGATGCCAATTAAAATACGATGAGTAGTCACAAAATCGATGAAGCTAAGACTCCATGGATGACAGATGAGATCCGGCAACTAATGGACAAAAGAAGATCATACAAAAACAAAAATGTAAACGAATACAAAGCCACACATAAGGAGATCAGGATAAAATTTCGGGCAGCTAAAGAAAAGTGGTACAACGAAAAATGTTTAGAGATAGAAACACTCCAGAGAAATCATGATAGTTTTGAAGTGCACAAAAAAATTAAAGAATTAGCAGGTATAAGACGGTCCAACAATAATAACACCCTGGTTGATACGAATGGTCAAATAATATCTGATGTAAAAGGCAAACTAAACAGATGGAGAGAATATGTCCAAGAATTGTTTGAGGATGACAGGACACAACAAGATAGCATGAACGATTGCGAGGAACATGATATAGGACCAAATATAACTAAGGATGAAATAATAACAGAAGAAATAAAAATGAGAATTGGATGAGCTAGAGCAACATTTAATAAGATGAGAAAAGTATTATGCAGTAGAGTCCTTAGTTTACAACTCAAAATAAGAATATTACGTTCTTATGTGTTTTCGGTGCTGCTGTATGGGGTGGAGGCCTGGACCTTAAAGAAAGAGGTGAGCGATCGACTTGAAGCATTCGAGATGTGGACCTACCGAAGAATATTAAAAATAAGTTGGGTAGACCGAATAACAAATGTTGAGGTCCTCAGAAAGATAACAAAGGAAATGGAAATCATGAATACGATTAAGATAAGAAAGTTACAGTATCTCGGCCACGTTATGAGAGGGGATAAATATGTGTTGCTACAAACCATAATGCAGGGAAAAATACAGAGAAAACGAAGTATTGGAAGAAGACGCATCTCTTGGCTCAACAATCTGAGAAAATGGTATAATTGCAGTTCGGTCGACTTGTTCAGAGCTGCAATCTCAAAAGTGAAAATAGCTGTGCTTACCAACCTCCTTAGAGGAGATGGTACCTAAAAAAGAAGAAGAAGTTGTAAATATATACGAGGGAATTTTAATATATACCAAGGAATTTATGTATCGAGGAATTTAGAAATGCTACAATACAACGGACAAACAATTAATAAAATTTTAAAACAAAAACTACACAAGAAAGCCCTGAAATTAGTATTTACACCACCAGAGAAAAAACCCAGTACCTTCTGTTACAACAAGAGCTAAAATAAAAACCTTACTGGTTGAAATGGTGGTCAAACTGGTAGAAATTGTAATAAACGAATAGCAGAACATAAAAGAGCTTTTAATATTAGAAAAACAGCTTCTACATACGCACTTCATTTTCTAGATTACAATCATTATTTAATGACGAATTTCAAATTTGTCAAAATCAAAATAAAGGCCTTAAGCTATCTTTGTTAGAATATATGGAAATTAACAAATTAAAAGCAAGGAGTTAATTCTGAATGACCAACTTGAGACAAACAGTTCTCTTCTCCTCAACCTATTTCATTAAAGACTATAAAGTGTAAACGCATGCCAAAAATAGATCACTTGAGAAAGGCAATCAGCCGAAACAGCTGTAGTGATAAGATTATAGGGTAAATTTTGTGGAAGTTTTGAAACGTGTTTTATTATTATATATTAAGAAAACATTGCAAAGTAAGTGGTTCGAAATCGTACCACTCGGAAGAAATTAGTTAAATTGAAATTCTGGTTAATTCCCAATAAAAAGTGTCAATAATATTAATATGTATCAAGAAAATAGCTTCAGAACAATATCATACTATTATTCTAATAACGACTGCCCTAATAATCATTATATAATACAAAATTCGAACTGAAAAGTTATATTTTTAAATGAAAACAATAATTGATTTGTATCTCTATAGAGACACTAATTTTGAACCCAATATAAATAATAATTCTATGTTTGACTTTTATTTAATTTGCTTGGATGTAAACACAGATAACCATAGTCAATTTTGCGTTGAATTACGGCCGTGAATAAATTATTTTCAAAACGTAATTCATTAATATTGTTTTATACTCGGGCTAAATGATCAATTGTTTTGTTTGGATTTGTAATAATTTTTAAAAACTAATAAACATTCAAAACATATGAATACTTCTTATATACAGGGTGAGTTTTTAGTGGGATATTGGTCAATAAAGTAATAGGAATAAAATATTCAAAAAAGTTATTTAGAAAAAAACGTGGGCCATGATATTCTTCAGTATTTGACAATATGCCTAATTTTACAGTGTGATTATTAACTAAGTAGTAAAGAAAACGTACAATTTTTGAAATACGACAGGTTAAATATTTTCTCATACTTAGATTCATCTCATAATCCCGGTTCTTAGAACATGAATAAACTTATGTAGTTTTTTGTTATCAGAACTCAGAAGCTGAACTCCTTATTTGCAAAAATAACGTTATCAACATTTTCTATATTTATAGAATTGTGTTTGTTTTTTATTAACATAAATTTGGTGTTTTGAATGTTAAAACATAAACTATTATTACCTAGCCATTTTTCAAAATTTTTTAATTTACTATTTAGAGCAGGGGTGCTCAAACTTGAACTGCTGGCGATCTACCTCAATATTTTTAGACTACTTACGATCGACTCTGAGAGACTGCAAGTGTGTGTGATGCAGGGTTGTCGTACATACACGATACACCCTACCTACCTAGGTATGGCGTACCGTAGCATATATAGATATTAACTTTCTGCACAATATAGGTACATTATTTTAGTCAAGGTTTGGGTTAGGTTTAGTTAGGTTCTTCTCTACAATATCAATGAAAAAACTAATGGTTATTCAAAATTGCGAGTTTATTTGTTGTTACAAAACAAAAGAGTTACCTACATATGGTGTTAAACTTAACTAAAGAGTGGCTTTGGATGTTGAAGCGTGGCACTGCATGTTCTCAGCATACTTTTCATAAGATGGTACGTAACCACTGAGTGCTAATCGCAAGCATGATGCTTTGATTTTGACTTAATTATCTTCATTTCAGAAAATGCAGACTTTCACAAGTAAGTTGACCCAAAAAATGCCGTCAGTTGAAGGGCGTTTTCCCTTACATTCGGATATTTATCTTCAGATATAAAACGCTAGAAATTTGTATCAGATACTGTAGCTTTGAGATGTATATTTGATATAATCTGCACCAACTCATTTTCAACAGAACATGAGTTCATATTAAACTGACTTGCTATTTCAGTAGCTAATTCCTCAAT